AAAAAAAAAAAACATTGCGTTTGGATGATATGAAATGAAATTCATCGCGGCCCTGTCTGTGCTGCGTGATTCATCTGGCACATGTGGACCATTACTAACTTCATTTGAGGAGACCTTTTGTCTGAGTGTCCCCATCACCGAGTGAAGTCCGAGAGGATGGGACGGCGTGGGAGGAAGTCAGGAGAGATATCAAACCCCAAGTCTCCTCTCACTTTTAAATTGTGCCATAAATCTTTCCTTTAAAAAATGCAGTGTGTCTAAAACTATTCCATAAATTATATAATTTTCATGACCTTTTTTTCTTCCCAATGCAAGCCGAATAATGACGACACTTCATTCTCCTCACGGGTATAAATATTGTTCTAGTTTCTATCCACCTGCTAAAGACCCATCCTGACGATGATGGGCGGGATTTAACTGTATCTATTGAGCTGAAGCCCCCAAAGCCGCGCAGGCCTCTGAAGGCCCTCTTGGTTCTTTTGGATGTCCGGGGTGTGTCCGTTTAATGTCATCTGCATTTAGTGAAAGAAGATAGTGCAGTTTATTAACAGATGTCAGGCTGGTGAGATCTTACCTTTGGACGGGTTAGAGCTTGCCTTTGCCTTCAGAGCAAATTAGGAATGATGCCCTCAAAAGTTAAGTTATGGTCAGATTTTATTATTTTTAAAGGTAAGTTTTTTTAAAAGAAATCTAGGTGACTTTACCTTCCTCCAGGCTTTGTCTTGTTCGAACTTCCCCCTCGATTCACTTCTTTTTAACGGGCTCAGATCAAAGGGGCTGCCCGCCCCGACGGAGAGCAGTAAAATCGGCCCGCTTTGTCTGCTGTTGCCAGGGGTAAGGACGAGTGTCCGGGAGGAGGAGAGGGAAGAGGGGTGGCATGGTAATGAGCCTCCTTATAGAGGCTCAAAAGTCTCAAAAAGTTATTTCCCCCTCCTCTCAAATGTCCATCTGTCGTCACATTTTAGTATCTCTATTTTTATTTCGTCTATTGACTTTACTGAATAATGAGTTTCAATAGCTCTTTATTTTGTAGTCGACTTCATTTCCGATGAATTACAAAAAGCAGTTTTAGAGCAAGCGTACAAACAGGAGGCTGTCGTGTGCTGTCAGAATGTATATATGTATTTCTTCATATCCCATCTGTGGGCTTAATGAGACATCACCTCCATATTTGACTATTTTACCTGAATAAACTATGAAACCGATTCTGCTTAGTTTTGAGGGGGGGAAAAGCCACTCGGTTTTTGCTTGTTTTATTGCAATGTCCCTGAATGCATCAGCAAGATAGACCAGTGGAAAGTTTACGCGATTGGGGCTGTGTGTGTGTGTGTGTGTGTAAGGTCTTTAAAGAGGAGGGCCAGACATCAAATATCACACTTGCCTCTAAGAGTCGGTATCATCTCCAAATGTGTGATGGGTTATATATTTATGACTTGACAGCGATTAAAAAAAAGTTGAAAACAAACTTA